CCCGGACTGCTAGGGCTGTTGTGAGCCGAGGGGGCGCTCCTCAAGTGGCGGTCGAGGGGCATTTACAGAGGCAAAAAAAAAAGTGTTCTGCTACCGCTTACTTCGCGTAATGAACAAGCCGCCCTTGCTGATAAGTGTTGGAAATGCCTGGAACAGGTTGGCTCCTTCTACCATATGTGGTGGACTTGCAAAGAAGCAGTAAAGTTTTGGAGGGTAATTCATGAAGAGACACAAAAGATTTTAAAAAGATCATTTATAAGAAAACCGGAGTATTATTTGTTAGGTTTTACAGATTTAGATCTACAACTGACGGAACAAGAGGATAAACTTTTTACATATATGACGACTGCCGCTAGAATTGTTTTTGCTAGAGAATGGAAGAAAGAAAGACTCAGCACCACCCGTACAGGAATGGGTGGAAAAAATCAGAGAAATAAAGGACATGGATGAATTGACTTTTTTGTTGAAGAAAAATACAGGTATGATACTAAGAAGAACGAATTGGGATAATCTCCATGAATATCTGGACAATTTGGGAAAATAAGAATCAAGAGAGACAATTTCTTTTTGAACTTACAGTATATTCTGGCATATAAGACTACTTTTTAACCCAAGAAAATCTTCTCAAAAGTCAGGGGTCGTCTTATACGCAGGTGTAGTCTTATGCATGGGAGTCGTCTTAACTCTATATTTTAACTGGAAAAGTTGGGGGTCGTCTTATACGCCCAGTCGACTTATATGCCGGAATATACGGTATTTTATATTTTTGAATAATAAGAAGATATGATCCAAGAAGATGGAATGGAAGTCATTTTTTTTGTTTTTCTTTTTTTGTGTTTTTTGTGTATTTTTGTAGAGTTTTTTTTTAGGGGTTATTTGGGATTTTAGTATACTTTTTTGTTTTTTCTTTTTTCTCTTTTTTTCTTTATTTCCCCACTTTCCTATACTTTATTGTTCTCACTCTTTCGTTGTAATCTATATAAAAAATAATAAAATTCTAATTACAAAAAAAAAAAACGTTATCCAGTAACATCGTCTGGCCATTTCATGTTCATCATTCATAGATCCATGTTATCTATTCCGTTGCATTCTCAAAAGCTTGCTCAAAGAGCCAGGTCTTTACTTCTATTTGGAAAGTCAGGAGGGAGGGGGCCAATCTAATATCCCTGGGGAGGGAGTTCCATAGCCGAGGGGTCACCACTGAGAAGCCCCTGTCTTTCGTCTCTGCCAATCACACTTGCGAGGCAGGCGGGATAGAGAGCAGGGCCTCCTCAGACGGTCTTAAGCTCCTAGATGGTTCATAGGAGGAGATACGTTTGGACAGATAAGCTGGGCCAGAATCACTTAGGGATTTATAAGCTAAAGCCAGCACTTTGAATTGTGCTCGGTAGCAAATTGGCAGCCAGTGGAGCTGACGCAACAGAGAATATTCTCCTCTCCCCGGTGCCATCCCCACTACCTCTCTTTAGAACTTAAGTTGGCCCGGCTTAAGTTGGCCCGGCTTAAGTTGGGTCCTAGTTCCAGCCCAGGTTACCTGTCCGAATGTATCTCCCTCTATGAACTATCTTGGAGTTTAAGATCATTTAGGGAGGCCCTGCTCTCAGTCCTATGTACTTCATAAGTGTGACTGGTGGGAATGAGAGACAGGGCCTTCTCAGTGATGGCCCCTCAGCTCTGGAACTCATTTCCCAATGAAATTAGATTTCTGGCCTTCAGAAAAAGGATAAAGACTAAACTGTGGGACCAAACCTTTGGGCAGTGAGCAGTACAAGGAATGATCAGGGATTATGTGCAATAGATATGATATTTGGAATAACCTGGGTGACAATTGTTGGATTGTGTGATTTTAATAGTTTATATTGATGTTTTAATGTTAAATGATGTCATTTTTTATGTTTTAATGTTAAATGATGTCATTTTTATTATTTAATTGATAATTGTATGTTATTATGTTAGGTTTCTGTATGTGTGGCATTAAAATAAATTTCATGACAGGAGTGACTTGGGAAACTGCAAGTCACTTCTGGTGTGAGAGAATTGGTTGTCTGCAGGACGTTGCCCAGGGGATGCCCAGATGGTGTTTTTTTATGTTTTACTATGCTTGTGGTAGGCTTCTCTCTATGTCCCTTGCATGGGGAGCTGGAGCTGACAGAGGGAGCTCATCCATGCTCTCCCCAGATTCGAACCTTTGACCTTGCTGGAGCAAGGGTTTAATTCATTGTGCCATCAGGGGCTTCTTATGGGAGTAATTTTATTTTGCCGTAATTGTGTTGGGGACCACTTTGATTCCCCCCTGGGGTGAGAAAAGCGGTATACAAGTGAAGTAAATAAAGAAATAAATATGGGAAGTGAGGAGTGATAATAACCAATGAAAATGGGGGGAAATGGCTTTCATCCTTCCACACACCCCCTAAAATTGAGTATCCTTCTCTACTTAGCGCCTCTTTTTGTCCTCCGCCCGGGTAATAAAACAATAACATTTGGTTTGGTTTGCTTTTTAGTTGAGACAACACCTCCTTGTGAATTAATTGATCTTTCAGCAGATTTCTATGACCACCATTTGCTGGAAGCTAACTATCACATCACACCAGAGGACATGGATATTCCCAGAAAGAATAGCTTAATCAAGTCTGGGAATAATCAAATTATTCCCAGAACGTTCTGGCCCAGCTTATCTGTCTGAACGTATCTTTCCTTATGAACCATCTAGGACCCTAAGATCTTCTGGAGAGGCCCTGCTCTCGGTCCTGCCTTCTTCACAGATTCAGTTAGCGGGAAGACAGGGCCTTCTCAGCGGTGGCCCCTCGGCTGTGGAACACCCTCCCTAGGGACATTAGATTGGCCCCCACCCTCTTAACATTTCACAAAAAAGTTAAAACCTGGCTTTTTGAGCAAGCTTTCTCAAATGCAGTGTAGCAGACAAACTCTGATCTTCGGAACAACTGGACATGTGATTGGATAATGATTTTAGTAATGAGATGAGGAGGATGTATATTTTTATTGGTTTTATTATTTACTAGCTGTCCCCTGCCACGCGTTGCTGTGGCACAGTCTGTTGATCTGGAAAATAAAGTAATGAGAAAGTGTTGGTTTCTAATATATGTAATTTCTTTATGCTTGTGGGTAAACAGTATTTCTTGCTGTTTCTTTGTCAGTGTTGATGTGGAGAGTGTCTGGTTTGCCTACTCTGGAACATGTAACATATAGTTGTCTTTCTTCAGGGGTCCCTTTCAAATCTATGATACTATATCTCTCTGTGTGTGAATAATATCTATCATCTATCTATCTATCATCTATCTATCTATCTATCTATCTATCTATCTATCTATCTATCTATATCTATCTATCTACCTATCTACCTATCCATCCATCCATCCATCCATCCATCCATCCATCCATCCATCCATCCATCCATCCATCCATCTATCTATCTATCTATCTATCTATCTATCTATCTATCTATCTATCTGTATCTATGGCTCTTTGTCAGGAGGGCTTTGATTACGTTTTCTTGCCCTGATGAAGAGAGTTGGACTAGATGGCCTTAAGTATTTTCTGTTGCTCATGGGGGTTCTGTGTGGGAAGTTTGCCCCAATTCTGTCATTCGTGACATTCAGAATGCTCTTTGATTGTAGGTGAACTGTGAATCCCAGTGATGACAACTCCCAAATGTCAAGGTCTATTTTCCCCAAACTCCACTAGTGTTCATATTTGGGTGTATTGAGTGCTTGTGCCAAGTTTTGGTCCAGATCCATCATTGTTTGAGTCCACAGTGCTCTCTGGATGTAGGTGAACTACAACTCGCAAACTCAAGGTCATTGTCCACCAAACCCTTCCAGTAATTTCTGTTGGTCATGGGAGTTCTGTGTGCCAAGTTTGGATCAATTCCATCGTTGATGGAGTTCAGAATGCTCTTTGATTGTAGGTGAACTATAAATCCCAGCAACTACAACTCCAAAATGACAAAATCATAATTTTTGAGTGATGGTCACTCCTTGTGTTGTAAGACGTTTTGTTGCCAAATTTTGTGTGATTTCGTTCATTGGTTCTTTTGTTTTTAAGGAACTCATTATGCACAGAGCATTTATATATATATATATATATAGATTGAATTTTACTTATGTTAAATGTTTTAATTGTGTGTTTTTTTTGTTATTGCAGGCATTTAATTGTGGCATTTGTAAACCGCCCTGAGTTGCCCTCGGGCTGAGAATGGTGGTATATAAATATGGTAATAAATAAATAAATAAATTAGCAAACGTGAGACCTACAAATTTGGAGAGCTGACTCTGTCATGTATCTGACACAAAGGCTACGGTACTTCAAATGGATGCATGCCTTTACAAATAAACGGGCTTTCGTTTTGTTTTGTAAAATATTCAAGTTGCTAGACCTTGTGGACAGATGTTTCTGTTGACTCTTTGGTTTTTGATGTTAACTTTATTCATTTTAATGTATTGTCGAAGGCTTTCATGGCTGGAATCACTAAGTTCTTGAGGGTTTTTTCGGGCTATATGGCCATGTTCTAGAGGCATTTCTCCTGACGTTTCGCCTGCATCTATGGCAAGCATCCTCAGAGGATGCTTGCCATAGATGCAGGCGAAACGTCAGGAGAAATGCCTCTAGAACATGGCCATATAGCCTGAAAAAATCCTCAAGAACTTTATTCATTTTATTTGACAACTTGGCCTTGAATTTTCCTTTCTCCACTTTGGATACTCTTGGCTCCCCATGTTTTCTCAGAGAGCCACGAGCCCATAAATCAGAACACAGATTGACAATGCAGGATGTCAGTTTTTATAACATCTCATGCTGGAAATCAGGCTCTGATTTTGTCGCCACTGCTCTTTATTAGACTGCGGGAGAGAAGAGAGCGGCCCCCGATTCTGGCAAGAAGCCCAAGACACCGAAAAAGAAGAAAAAGAAAGACCCCAACGAACCGCAGAAGCCGGTGTCGGCATATGCCCTGTTCTTCAGGGACACACAAGCGGCAATTAAAGGCCAGAACCCCAATGCTACCTTTGGAGAAGTTTCAAAAATCGTAGCGTCGATGTGGGACAGCTTAGGAGAAGAGCAAAAGCAGGTAAGTTCTTTGGGGAATTGTTCTGTGGGAGCTGATGATGTAAATGAATGGAAAGATGCCAACGATTACAGTCCATCTAATTAAGCGCTGATCTTTTTGACTTCATTAATTAGAAATGCATCACGGAAGGGTGCCCAGCGATGATGTCTCCATTCCCATCTGAAGCTGGCTTCAGACCTGGCCCCTCGTTCTCCATTGCTTTGATTAGTTGGGCTGTAGTATTATAATCCACGGATCTATTAACAGATTAAAAGAACTTTGGATCAACTAGAAAGGCACTCCATGAAGTCAAGCAGCAGCCATTTGTATTATGGATGTATTTTTAACATCTATATTTGTGCAAAATGAAGGGATGTCAATAATAATAATAATAATAATAATAATAATAATAATAATACCTCAAAATAAAGAAATAAATTATTATTATTATTATTGACATCCCTGCATAATAATAATAATAATAATAATAATACCTCAAAATAAATAAATTATTATTATTATTATTATTGACATCCCTGCATATTAATAATAATAATAATAATAATAATAATAATAATAATAATTAAAATAATAATATTCTCAAAATCGAACTACAAAGGTTCTGGCATAAACCAGTACAAGTTGTCCCAGTGGTACTGGGTGCACTGGGTGCTGTCCAAAAGATCTCAGCCGGCATTTGGAAACGATTGACAAAATCATGATCTGTCAACTGCAAAAGACCATCTTACTTGGATCTACGCACATCATTTGAAAATACATCACACAGTCCGGGCTTGGGAAGTGTTCGACTTGTGATTTTGTAATACAAAATCCAGCATATAGATCTCGTTTGCTGTGACATACTGTGTTTTTGTGTCAGAATAATAATAATAATAATAATAATAATAATAATAATAATAGGATTTAAAGATCGAACTGCAAAGCCTCTGGCACAAGCCAGTCAAGGTGGTCCCAGTGGTGATCGGCACACTGGGTGCAGTGCCTAAAGAACTTGGCCTGCACTTAAACACAATCGGCGCTGACAAGATTACCATCTGTCAACTGCAAAAGGCCATCTTACTTGGATCTGCGCGCATCATTCGAAAGTACATCACACAGTCCTACATGCTTGGGAAGTGTTCAACTTGTGATTTTATGATACAAAATCCAGCATATAGATTTCGTTCGCTGTGACATACTGTGTTTTTGTGTCAATAATAATAATAATAATAATAATAGGATTTAAAGATCGAACTGCAAAGACTCTGGAACAAGCCAGTCAAGATGGTCCCAGTGGTGATCGGCACACTGGGTACAGTGCCTAAAGACCTTGACCTGCACTTAAACACAGTTGGCACTGACAATATTACCAGCTGCCAGCTGCAGAAGGCCATCTTACTGGGATCTGCACGCATTATTCGTCGAGACATCACACAGTCCTAGACGCTTGGGAAGCGTCCAATATGTGATCCAATACAACAGCCAGCAGAGTGATCTTGTCTGTTGTGGACTCATCTTGTTGTGTTTCTAATAATAATAATAATAATCATCATCATCATCATCATCATCATCATCATCATCATATGTTTCTCCCCATACTTTTCCTGGATCACCCATGGTCCTGAATTATGAAGTACAGTAGAGTCTCGCTTATCCAACATAAACAGGCCAGCCAAACGTTGGATAAGTAAAAATGTTGGACAATAAGGCGGGATTAAAGAAAAGCCAATTAAACGTCAAATTAAGTTACGATTTTACAAATTAAGCACCAAAGCATCATGTTTTGAAACAAACTGACGGAAAAAGCAGTTCAATACATGGTAACGTTATGTAGTAATTACTGTATTTACCAATTTAGCACCAAAACATTGCAATGTGTTGAAACATCTGTGGATCCGGGCAGGATAGTTTTCATCCTCAATCCCTCTTCTCAATTTCATACTTAAAATGCCAACATCATAACTTTTGGGTTACGGCCCTATATCCCAGGACCTTATCCCAGGGTTTCTGCTTTATGCACTGCCAGATAATCAACAGAAAACATGGGATCAGATCCTGGAATATAGGGCTTGTCTGGAAGGGCCCTTAGTCCCATTAAAAGGATTTTACAAGAGAGAATCAATGGAAAACTGGCATTGTCTATTTTGACTTTCCATAACATTTCACTTCAGAGAAGTGAAACAGTGTGAAGTTTATATGCTGAAAGGGTCTTTATTTTTAATGTACTTTTAATATTTTCTACAGGTATATAAAAGGAAAACGGAAGCTGCTAAAAAGGAGTACCTAAAGGCACTTGCTGCCTACAGAGCAAGTTTGGTTTCCAAGGTAGGAAGAATCAGAACTTGGAAGTAACCCATTACATATAATGAATTACTTGTGATTTATTTTATTTTATTAAGTCATAACAGGTTCCAAGATACTCCAAAATATTCCACATGGGAGGCTGGTAGTAATACCTTTGTTTTCTCATGGTCCAACGTATGTTATACTTTGTTCCGTACACAAAATGATTTCAAATATTGTGGAAAATACTTTTCAGTCTATATCTATAAATAGCTATATGAAACATAAATGAATTTGATGTTTGGACTTGGACCTTATTTCTAAGACATGTTCAAAAACACAAAAAAAAATTAGAATACTTTTAGTCCCAAGCATTTTGGATAAGGAAGGAATGCCTTTTCATTCCTTTTGGAGCACACTATTATCAATACTTTTATAGTTCTAGAGCAGTGTTTCTCAACCTGGGGGCTGGGACCCCTGGGGAGGGGGGTGTCTCAAGGGAGTTTCAGAGGGGTCACCAAAGACCATCAGAAAACTTATATTTCTGATGGTCTTAGGAACCCCTTTGGCAGAGAAGGCTGAAGATCTCTCCGCCTGTCCTTATCTTCCTTTTGGAAACAGACAGTGAATCCTCCCATCAAAAGCCTTCCTCCGCTGTGAATGGTCAGCCTCTCAGCTGGCCTCTCAGCCAAGGGGAGGGCTGTTTCTGAAACTCCAAGCAGGGAGGGGAGAGCAGGGGTGCTCGGAGCATGGTGCACATGTGCAGGTGAAGGCGGAGAGAGGCTCACGGCAGCAAGTCCCATCAACACATGGGGATTCTGTGTGGGAAGTTTGGCCCAATTCTATCATTGGTGGTGTTTGGAATGCTCTTGGATTGTAGGTGAACTATAAATCCTAGCAACTACAACTCCCAAATGTCAAGGTCTATTTCCCCCAAACTCCACCAGTTTTCACATTGGGACATATTGAGTATTTGTGCCAAGTTTGGTCCAGATCCGTCATTGTTTGAGTCCACAGTGCTCTCTAGATGTAGGTGGACTACAACACCAAAATTCAAGGTCAATGCCCATAATAACAGTAGAAGGCAATAAAGTTAATAGTTAAGTACTGGACCTTCAAACAGTTTGCTTGTTTTGGTAGCAAAACATCAGTATTTTCTGTCGGTCATGGGAGTTTGGAATGCTCTTTGATTGTAGGTGAACTATAAATCCCAGCAACCACAGCTCCCAAATGTCAAGGTCTATTTTCCCCAAACTCCACCAGTTTTCACATTGGGACATATTTAGTATTTCTGCCAAGTTTGGTCCAGATCCATCATTGTTTGAGTCCACAGTGCTCTCTGGATGTTGGTGGACTACAACTCCAAAACTCAAGGTCAATACCTACCAAAGCTTTCCAATACTTTCTATCGATCATGGGAGTTCTGTTTGCCAAGTTTGGTTCAATTCTATCATTGGTGGAGTTTGGAATGCTTTTTGATTGTAGGTGAACTATAAATCCCAGCAACTACAGTTCCCAAATGTCAAGGTCTATTTTCCCCAAACTCCACCAGTGTTCACATTTGGGCATATTGAGTATTTGTGCCAAGTTTGGTCCAGCTCCATCATTGTTTGAGTCCACAGTGCTCTCTGGATGTAGGGGAACTACAACTATAAAACTCAAGGTCAATACCCATCAAATGCTTCCAGTATTTTCTGTCGGTCATGGGAGTTTTGTGTGCCAATTTTGGTTAAATTCCATCATTGTTAGAGTTCAGAATGCTCTTTGATTGTAGTTTAACTATAAATCCCAACAACTACAACTCCCAAGTGACAAAATTAATATCCCCTCCCTCAACCCCACCAGTAGTCAAGTTTGTGTGTATCAGGTATTTGTGCCAAATTTGGTCCAGTGAATGAAAACACATCCTTTATATCAGATATTTACATTACAATTCATAACAGTAGCAACATTACAGTTATGAAGTAGCAACGAAAATAATTTTATGGTTGTGGGTCACCACAACATGAAGAACATTAGGAAGGTCGAGAACCACTGTTCTAGAGCATGTGACTCGATTGCTTTGCTTGCAGAATTTTTTTGAAAAAGTAACTGTTTCTACTCTTTTTGGAAAACATGGCATTAATAGTTGAGAGGTTTGGGAAACTGGCAGGGGTCTTTAGAAGCCTCACAATTGGAGTCCAGGGGCCACATGTGGCCTGAATACACTTTGCTTCATCTTGATTTGAAAAGAGGGAAGAACAGATGTTTAAAAATTTCACTCTGCCTGTCTGCAGAAAAGAAAAAAGCACTTACGGCATTTTGACAATTAACAAACGTGAAACTTCATTAAATAAGTACCATGCCATGCAAAATGTAGAACATCTGCCAAGATTTTTAAAAGCAAACTAGAAAAAAATAGCTCAACAAAGCACATGAAAGCAGCAGACCTTTATATGGCCACTTAAGCCCTTGGAGAGCAACCACACAGGAGATAGCAGCTTATCCGCTTGGATTGTGTGTAAAGAAACTGTATACCTTGTATAACTGTATACGCTTGAGAATTGCTATATAAATTGGTCAAAGGGTTCTCTGTGTATGCAAAACATAAGCACTGGGCTTTACATAAAACATTGCAACATCATAGAACATATTATGGGAAGATGTAATCTCAATGTGCTGAAGCCAAGGTTGTATATACTGCATAATTTATGGAATGCAGTTTCTCATAAATTCTACTTAAAATAAATAGAGCAGTAGCAGAGAGCTGGGAATGTATTCTTTTGTTGGAAGGATTTGCATCTGCAGAAATTAGAACCTAATTAAGAGAGAATCGGTTTTTTAAGATGGGTTATGTCTGGTGGAGTTTACAAAGTCTCTGTTGTCTTCAAATCTTGTAGAGTTTACTCAGTTCCTTCATTGAACCCTTATGGAGCGAGGGGTAAAAACAGAATTAGGACAATGTGTTGTCGAAGACTTCCATGGCCAGAATCACTGGGTTGCTGTAAGTTTTTTGGGCTGTATGGCCATGTTCCAGAAGCATTATCTCCTGATATTTCACCTGCATCTATGGAAGACATCCCCAGAGGTTGTGAGGTCTGAGGAGGTTGTGAGGTCTGACCTCACAACCTCTGAGGATGCCTGCCATAGATGCAGGCAAAATGTCAGGAGATAATGCTTCTGGAACATGGCCATACATTCCAAAAAACTTACAGCAACCCAGAATCAGGGCAATAGCTCTATCCCATTTTGCACGTGAGAAGTAAAAACAATAAATATGGAGCCCTCAGTGGTGCAATGGATTGAACCCTTCTGCGGGGACATTAGGGAAACCTCCCACAAGGATGGTAGAACATTCAAACTTCAGTGCGTCCCCTGAGCAATGTCCTTGCAGATGGCAATTCTCTCACACCAGAAGTGACTTGCAGTTTCTCAAGTTGCTCCTGACATGGAATAAATAAATAAATAAATAAATAAATAAATAAATAAATATGGGATGTGTAAAATATTAAAATAATAGCCAATGTGTGTGTGTGCGTGTGTCAGGAGCAACTTGAGAAACTGCAAGCCGTTTCTGGTGTGAAAGAATTAGCCATCTGTAATGACGTTGCCCAGGGGATGCCAGAGTGTTTGATGTTTTACCATCCTTGTGGGAGGCTTCTCTGAAGCTGACAGAGGGAGCTCATCTGTGCTCTCCCTGGATTTGGTCAGCAGTCCTGCTGGCACAAGGGTTTAACCCATTGTACCACCGGGAACTCCGTGACCAACATTGAAAGGTATATTTTAGTATCTAATGTCATTAACAAGATCCAACAGCATAAGATACAAAACATCCCTTCATTGTACCATAAACGAGCCTTTTACTAGCTCTCCAGGTACATTCTTGAACTACATTGGTGATTGTGGAGTCCATGTTGGAAGAACTTTTTGCCTCCCTGAAAAACATTCCTTGGTGTGGCCAATTGGGAAGATGACCAACAACGGCGTGTGTGTCTCTGTGTGTAGTACCCTTCCAAAAAACAAAAATAGATTGTTCAAAAAAAGTCTTAACACTCAGTTCTTGTGGGTTTTTTCGGGCTATATGGCCATGTTCTAGAGGCATTTCTCCTGACGTTTTGCCTGCATCTATGGCAAGCATCCTCAGAGGTGAGGTCTGCTGGAACTGGGAAAAAAGGGGTTTATATATCTGTGGAATGACCAGGGTGAGACAAAGGGCTTTTGTAAGTTGGGCTAGGTGTGAATCTTTCAACTGACCACCTTGATTAGCATACAATGGGCTGACTGTGCCTGGAGCAAACTCTTCTTGCAAGGTGATTACATGTCCCTGCCTGTTTTTCTCTCTGCTGTTTTTGCTGTTGCAATTTTAGAATTTTTTAATACTGGTAGCCAGATTTTGTTCATTTTCATGGTTTCCTCCTTTCTGTTGAAATTGTCCACATGTTTGTGGATTTCAATGGCTTCTCTGTGTAGTCTGACATGGTGGTTGTGAGAGTGGTCCAGCATTTTTGTGTTCTCAAATAAAATGCTGTGTCCAGGTTGGTTCATCAGGTGCTCTGCTATGGCTGACTTCTCTGGTTGAAGTAGTCTGCAGTGCCTTTCATGTTCCTTGATTCATGATTGGGCACTGAGTTTGGTGGTCCCTATGTAGAGTTGTCCACAGCTGCATGGCACACGGTAGACTCCTGCAGACCTCACCTCAGAGGATGCTTGCCATAGATGCAGGCGAAACATCAGGAGAAATGCCTCTAGAACATGGCCATATAGCCCGAAAAAACCCACAAGAACTGAGTGATTCCAGCCATGAAAGCCTTTGACAATACAAAGTCTTAACAATTTTTTGTATAAAATAATTTTTATTGCAAAATCAAAACAAATTCTGGAAAGAAAACTATGTTGTGTAAAAAATCAAGCTACATATTTTGCACTGTTTTCTGTGTGGGTTTTTGTTGTACTTTTTAAAAAAATCAAAGTATTGAGTAATATAACATGTGGGAAGTAAACTTTTAGAACTTCCATTTTTGCATGCTAAAATTAAATAAGTAAAGATTGCCATCCTTCAAAGATAACAATCACCACTCACTTCTCCTTTGTTTTGAAACACAGGCTGCTGCTGAGTCCGCAGAGGCTCAAACCATCCGCTCCGTCCAGCAGACCCTGGCATCTACAAATTTGTCCTCTTCTCTCCTTCTGAATGCCCCTCTTTCCCAACACTCAACGGTGGCCACTTCACCCCAGACTCTCCAGCAGGCCCTCCCGAGGGCCATCGCCCCAAAGCCTTTAGCAATGCGGCTGCCCATGAACCAGATCATCACCTCGGTCACAATCGCCCCCAACATCCCCACAAACATTTCCACCTCACTGATCAGCTCGATGGGGAGCAACATGGTGGGCACCTCGTCGGCTTCGGGGTCCTCCCAAGTCAGCCCTTCCTTGCAGAGCCAGCAACACCAACTCCAGCAGCTCCAACAGCTCCAGCAGCAGCAGATGCAGCAGCAGCAGCTCCACCAGCAGCACATGCACCAGCAGATCCAGCAGCAAATGCAGCAGCAGCATTTCCAGCACCACATGCAGCAGCACCTGCAGCAGCAGCAGATGCAGCAGCAGCTGAGTCAGCAGCAGCAGATGCAACAACAGCTGAGTCAGCAGCAGCAGATGCAACAGCAGCTCCAGCATATGCAGCTCCAGCAAATGCAGCAGCAGCAGATGCAGCACCAGTCACAACCATCTCCGCCGCAGCATTCCCCTGTGGCGTCACAGATCACGTCCCCCATCCCCGCCATCGGAAGCCCCCCACCCACCACCCCGCAGCACCAGCCCCAAATACAAACCCAGACTCAGACTCAGCTATTATCACAGGCCAGTATTTTCTGAAGACACGTTACAAAACAAACAAACAGCTGCTTTGCAACAAAGAGCTGCGCAAAAGTGGATGGCGAAATACCGCAATGCCGATAGTCGTTATGTCGGAATGCATAACAGATAAAGGGAGTCTCTAAGCTGTCTATTAGATAGGCAATAAAGAACTACAATGTAGCTGTGTATACTCTTTTAGCTGGCGATGAATATTTGTTTTCCGGATTCTTCCACTCCTATTTTTAAAGCTGTGCTCTTTGTGTTTTTTTTTAATTCCCTCCTCCTTCTCCCTCAATGCTTATTTAATTTATTTTGAGCTTTACCTACAATATGTGAATCAAATCATCTTCGATATTCCTGGGCATTAAGACTGAAACAAGACAAAATGGCCTTTTCACAGTTTCGCACTGTTCGTTCTTGGAAAATTAGTTAATGCTCTGGAGCCCCTGATGGTGCAATGAGTTAAACCCTTGTGCTGACAGGACTGAAGATTGACAGGTTGGAGGTTTGAATCTGGGGAGAGGGAGGATGAGCTCCCTCTATCAGCTCCAGCTCCCCGGTTTTTTTTTTTTGTTTGTGTCAGGAGTGACTTGAGAAACTGCGAGTCACTTCTGGAATGAGAGAATTGGCCGTCTGCAAGGACGTTGTCCAGGGGACGGCCAGATGTTTTGATGTTTTACCATCCTTGTGGGAAGCTTTTTTCATGATGCCAGGGCTCTGCCAATATTTAGGCAGAGATGAACCAAACTCCCAATTTGTCCTAAACAATTTAATTAAAACAGCACTTACTTTCTGGCTGTTTTAATAGTCCAAAACATAAAACATAAAGATAGCACTCAGCCACAAAATATAAAACAAAACTGACAGCAAACACTGTTGCAGGTTCAAGATAACACCATAGTCAAAAGGTTCAATCCAGCAGTCGAATGCCGAGAGTTAAATGAGCAAAGTCCAGGGAACAAGAGTCTATTCTGTAGTGAAAAGCCAGTCCAGAGATTCAAGGTTCCAGGGTTCCAAGAGTACAGGAGACAGGTCAGGATACCGAAAATCCACAAACCTGGGGGAAAACCAGCAGCATCTACCACCAAAATAAGACAAATATTTTTCTCCTGAAGATTAGTCCCAAGGCTAGCTCATTATATCCCGAAACACCCAGCTGCAACCTATCTCTTGAATACATCCACACTTAATTGCTTTCACCGATGAACTCTTACTTACAGATTACTCAACCTTTTAGAACTATGACATATATTAACCCACCCATTACCAACTGCTAGGCCTACGACCACCAGCCACCATCAACTGCAGAACATGATACATGACAGCTTCTTTTATGTCCTTGCATGGGGAGCTGGAGCTGACAGAGGGAGCTCATCTGCACTCTCCTCGGATTTGAACCTCTGACCTGTCGGTCTTCAGTCCTGCCAGAACAAGGGTTTAGCCCACTGCATCACCCAGGGCTCATCATGTGGGGACATGAGAGAAGCCTTCACAAGGATGGTAAAACATCAAAACTTCTAGTCTCTTCTAGGCAACGTCCTTGCAGACGGCCAATTCTCTCACACCAGAAGCCACTTGCAGTTTCTCAAGTTGCTCCTGATACGCACAAAAAAGTGAATGCTCTTCAAACCAGTTGGTTTGGGTTTTTTTTCTTTCTTTAATGATTTGAATTCACAAAGCCCTTAAAAAGCACAGTTGTAACTACCTGTAAAATGTTGATTGGGTTTCATACAATCACGCTCTTGTGAGATGAGTAGTTGACGGTGTTTTTCTCTGTCATAAAAATATGTATAAAAGAATCACAGACTTTTGCCAAAGCTCCTTTTTCTTCTTCTTCTTTTTTTTAAAAAAAATGCTTCGGAAAGTAACAAAAAATGCAAGTACAAGTTCTTAACTCTCAAAGCCCACCTTACCATCTAAGTTATAATTTCTGCAAATGCCACAGTACTTTGTAATAAAATATATTCTTACCCTGTTCTGCCCATTCCAGTTGGAAAAGGAAAATAAATAAATAAAATAAATGTGAATATTCTATTCTGTGTTTGAGTGACAACTTTCAGATTTAATACACTGTATTTTTTAAAGAAGGAAATGCACTTAAATAAAACTGTTATTACAAAAAAGAGATAAGAAGGAAAAAAAATGTGAGTTTCTTTTTTAAAACAAGATGCTGTAATACCAGTAGGCTATTTAAAAGGACTGCTGTATCTGAATAATCAGTGTAAATATTTTCTTTTAAAAAGTTGTAAGTTTTTCATATCATGTGTTGTAAAGTTTTTCATAAACGAGGCTTTAATGTAAAACACTGGTAACATGAATGATTTCATTGCGACATTGCTTGCTGTGTTTTTATGCTGTTTTATACTTTTCTATGCGTTACGATAGCAGAAATTATTACATTGTTTGTATTTTGTTTATCTAAAACAAATGCTTTTATGTTGCTATAGAATAAACACATTTCAGTAAATATATACATATATACATACAAAACCCTTGGTATTCAAGAGTATAATCAACGAGTCCCAAATGGTTAAAATGGGAGGCATATTGAGATAGAATGTGCCTCCCATTTTAACCATTTGCACCAGCACTGTGGCGCAGCTGGCTGGAAATCAGCTGCATTAAGATCACTACTGACCGAAAGGTCATGAGTTCGAAGCCATCCCGGGTCGGAGTGAGCTTCCGACCAAAATTGTGTAGCTTGTTGTCGACCTTTGCAGCCCGAAAGACAGTTGCATCTGACAAGTAGGAAATTTAGGTAACACTTATGTGGGGAGGCTAATTTAACTGATTTACGAGGCCATAAAAATCTCCAGCAAGCATGCAAAGAATGAGGAAGTAGTTCAACAGTGTCACAAACCGACGGTGAAGTGACAGCTCCCCTGGTGGCCAGAAGCTGGAATGTTAAATAGCCTCTGAGTGTCTATATATGTCGTGTGTCTATGGCATTGAATGTTTCCCATGTATATGTTCATTGTAATCTGCCCTAAGTCCCCTGCGGGGTGAGAAGGGCGGAATATAAATACTGTAAATAAATAAATAAATAGAATTATAGAATCATAGAGTTGGCAGAGACCCCATGGGTCATTCAGTCCAACCCCCTGCCAAGAAGCAGGAAAAGTGCATTCAAAGCACCCCCAACAGATGGCCATCCAGCCTCTGCTTAAAAGCCTCCAAAGAAGGCGCCTCCACCAGTTTCCTAATGTTCAGGTAGAATCTACTTTCCTAGTTTTCAGCCATTGTTCCACATCCTAGTCCCTAGGGCAGCAGAAAACAAGCTTGCTCCCTCCTCCCTATGACTTCACCTTACATACTTTTACATGGCCATCATGTCTCCTCTCAGTCTTCTCTTCTGAAGGCTAAACATGCCCAGCTCTTTAAGTCACTCCTCATAGGGCAGTGGTTCTCAACCTGTGGATCCCCAGATGTTTTGGACTTCAACTCCCAGAAATCCTAACAGCTGGTAAACTAGCTGGGAATTCTGGGAGTTGTAGGCCAAAACACCTGGGGACCCACAGGTTGAGAACCACTTTCATAGGGCTTTGTCTCCAAACCTTTGATCATTTTAGTTGCTCTCCTCTGGACACATTCCAGCTTGTCAACATCTCTCTTCAATTACAGTGCCCAGAATTGGACACAGTCTTCCAGGTTTGTCCTAGCAACTTATTGAACCTATGATGTTTACCATGATATTCAGATCAAGATGTTCAAGACTGATATCACTGGAAAATACAGATTGAGTTGAATATTTGCATGCCTAGGGGCTTGTCTACATGGACTAAAATAGTTGTACTCATCTTCTAGATCAGTGGTTCTCAACTTGTGGGTCCCCAGATGTTTTGGCCTTCAACTCCCAGAAATCCTAACAGCTGGCAAACTGGCTGGGATTTCTAGGAGTTTTAGGCCAAAACAACTGGGGACCCACACATTGAAAACCACTGTTCCAGACCCTGCAATTTGATTTCTGACACACAACATTTGTGATGATTTGCTTGGAAGGCATGTTTTAATCTGGTTCAACTTTTTACTAAAATTTTGGGGGATTTTTGGTGTGGCATAATTGTGCCAATGGGGGGGGGGGGGCTTGGTACTTGATGGAACTAGTGGATGGGAGATTATTCCTCCTGTATTTCCATCAGAAGTTACCATGGAGTCTTGCAGGAGGTGTTCTAGAAATTTTCTAGACCCTCCATTGAGGCATGCAGGTAACTTCTGGTGAAAGTTGTTCATTTCAGTAAGAGTTTGAATTTTCTTGGTGTCTTAGTTTTTAGCCCTGTTTTGAGTATTATTTGAGTTGCTGATTAAGAAAACTGCACTGGATAGAATTCATCTGCTCTAGCTTTTAAAATATGGCTATCATAGTTTTCTATGGGCAAGCAGATGGCAACTGGTAGATGGCATATGTTCTTTATCTGTTCCTTATGGAAACAGCAGGTCACATATACCCATAAACAGGACTAATATTTGAGGCACCAAAATATGTGTTGGCCAGTTTTATCCATGGTTTCCTGTTTCCACAGTAAATTAATGTATTTCCCGCAAAACCAGAGTTGTGATTAGGGATATGTATGATATCGGCTTTGCATTCCGGATTCGGCGAATTCAGCTAAAGTCGGCAACTAAATCCGCGGATATGAGGAGGGTGGGGCAGCTGGAGACTGGCAATAATAGGATCCGTTAGTGGCCAAACTTCATTAGTACGAGAGGTATTTTTTAAGTAAGGTCTATTTGAACATAAGTACACAATGAAAGTTTATTTCAAAAAAATAAATTTATTTTCAGAAAGTACATACTTCACTCTATTTTTCGACATAGTTGCCAAGTTTGTTCAAACACTTATCATACCTCTGAACCAATTTTAAAATACCCTCTTCACGAATCCTCGTTCAACTGAAGCCACCAAATCGTCTGTAATCAAAGAAGGGCGACCGGAGCGGTCCTCATCATGGACGTTGTCATGGCCATCTTTGAATTGTCGTACCCACTTACGCACTTTGCTTTCACTCATAACAGTATCACCGTACACTTCACAAATCTGTCTATGAATTTCTGCAGCAGGCAGGTTCCTTGCTGACAAAAACCGTATCACTGAGCGAACCTCACATGCGGAGGGTGAGTTGATAGTCTTAAACATTTTTAAAGCACAGAACAGAACCGTACAGGTTAGCTACAGAGCGGAAACTGAGCACAGTTGTTCCCGAGGCATGCCGGTACATGACGCACGCGCTCGTTGCGGTATGTGCACAAACTACTAGTGTCTACAACAAAACGGACCTTACTTAAAAAATATCCCTTGTATTTGGCTGTATTCAGCTGCCGCAAGAGAAGAGCAGCCATGCACAGGTTTTTCCTCCTCCACTCTTTAGCCACTCCTCCCTAGCAAAATTATTTATTTATTTATTTATGAGATTTGTATCCCGCCCATATCAGCCCGAAGGTGACTCAGGGCAGTGTACAAGTCGGCAACAATTAGATGCCATATATAAAAATACATACATCGATAAAAGCAAAAAAATAAAAATCACAATACATTTAAAAACCATAAAAATAATGAATAGTAAAAAT